CCATCCATCCATCCATCCATCCATCCATCCATCCATCCATCCATCCATCCATCCATCCATCCATCCATCCATCCATCCATCCATCCATCCATCCATCCATCCATCCATCCATCCATCCATCCATCCATCCATCCATCCATCCATCCATCCATCCATCCATCCATCCATCATCTTTACCCACTTGTTTTTTTTTGGCTCACTGGGGTTTATCTCCAGAAATGAGTTTGCTATATTTACCTGCAGCAAATTTGTAGAATTATTTGTCTACATTTGTCCACAATTGTGTCAGAAATTGTCCTTTGACACTCTACATTCATCATGCATACACAAGAATCAACAATAAAACATACTTTGTAATAAAAAACACATTATCACCATTAGTTAACACCATTAAGATGCATCTCTTTAGCTTTGTTTAAGAATAATACTGCTGATGGTACAAATTATTTCTTGTAAATATTCATCCTGGTCAGCGGGACTCAGTAATGCCTGTTTGATGGAAGCATCTGGAAGCAGTTGTGTAGTGGATGTGAGGGTCCTCGGTGATCAGGTGAAACTGGTTTAGTACTTCAGAGCCCAGCAGTCGAGCTAACGACTGCTCAGAAATTAGCTTTTTGAAGCAAAACATCAGCCATTTAAAACAATATGAATCTCTTGAATGTGTTGCAGCCGTTCAAGTGAACGCCATGCTGTGGATTCCTGCACATCACCTTTGATTCAGAGAGCTGAGCTCCTTTTGCAGCAGGGCGTTAGATTCAGAACCTGACACAACAGACTGCAGAAAACAGTTTTCAGTGGAAATAAGCACCTGACATAAAAAGCAACTAATGAACTGAACAGTGAGGTTTTAGAAGTTTGAATTGTTTCAGGTGTAGAAAATGTATTCTTGAATGGGTCCTGTTCTGAGTAGGTGGTTATCTTGACTCCACATAAAATACCTGGTAAGATAAGATGGAAATGAACAGGTAAGATACTGACTACTCATGACAACTTCCTTAAATAATAGCAAACATCAGAACAATCCCTTTAAAATGCGAGTACCCATCTGTACCCAAAAGCAGCAGATTTATATATAAATACATAAAATACTTTGTTTTGTTTGTCTCTTAGATGCTGTGCTGTTTTGTGAGTTCAGGACAGAAAAAGACCAGAACCCTCGAATTGAGTGGAAGAAGAAAGGAAAGGGGGTGACTTTTGTTTACTTTAATAATAAATTTATTGGTGAGTAAAAGATCTTTACAACATTCCTTCCTGCACTAAGCTTTTTATGAAAATCAAATCTTGCTTTGCCATTATTATTTCATGCTCTTATTTATTCGCCATACTTTCTTTACCTCCTGTTTCAGGAACCTACGCAGGACGAGCCAGGATGGAGGGCGCAACGCTGACGATTCACTCCGTCACCCAGAAAGACTCAGGAGAATACCGCTGCGAGGTGACGGCCAGTGAGGACCACGTCAACCTCGGAGAGGCAATTGTGACACTCAGCGTGCTCGGTAAGAAGAAAAGCTGTTTTTACAAAAACCAAGAGTTCAGAGACTGTACAGAAACATGCTGTATTTTACATTTAGAAGAATATGTACAAAGTTTGAGTAAAGAGCTGAAGTAAATAACATTTTTATGTCCAGATACATGTTCTATAATCCAGGTAGATCAATCTATGAGTCAGTTCCTCTGGACGGATGCTTCTTCATTTTTATGCTAAGCACAACATGATTCTATGAATTTACACTTTCATCATCATGTCAAATATCATAAGATGCTTCATTTACACAAATGTTTTCCCCCAGAAATGACAAAAATGTTGATCCAAAATTGACGATTTTTTTTAACACAAAACAAAAAAAAAGTGGAAAACTTGTTTCTAATTTAAACACATTTGTTTTTAAAGGGAACCCTTATCCTGCTTATGAGTGTGTACACTTTATTGTGAATGTGATTTTTAGTTTAGATAACAAACAGAAAAATAAGATTGTCAAAACATTTATTTACGTTATTTTATATATATATATAAAAAAATCATAGTTTTCAAAAATGTTTAAGGTTCTTTATTGGTATTCACATCATATGTGGTACATGAGGCGGAATGAAATTGTGTACCCAAGGTCCCAGTAACACCCAAAAATAGCAAAAATATAAAGTATGTAAAAAATAAAGAAACAGTATACAAGGATCTACTATGCTAAACAATAGTGTATCAAAAATGTATCAGCATATTTAAAGATAAGGGCAGAAATATAAATGGTATATTGAAAATACTGCAGATCAGTGGGTATTTACATGTTCACCCTTCAGCTAAAACATCCAAGAATTACAGGTTTTCAGTTTGTAGGAGCAGGTTTCAGCATCCTCATCACATTCCCGGTGTTTCCTGCTTACCATTCAATGTATCCTGGGATAAACTACAGCAGTAATTGAGTATGATCCATACACGATACATACAGTACATGTTGAGTTTTTGCCCTTTGATGTTCTTCAGTACCTCCTCATGTCCCATCCTGCGAGGTGCCAAGCTCCGTGTTTGTTGGATCAGGCCTGGAGCTTCAGTGTAAGGACAAACTGAGTGTCCCTCCTGCCACCTACCGCTGGTACAAAGACAACAAGGCTCTGACACCCACCGGAGAGTCTCCTTACAGCTTGGACTCAAGCAAGGGCACGCTGGTGAGCGCAAACATACGTCATGGAAAACAAGCAGATACACCCACTAGCTACTTTATTAGATGCAGTTTAGTACCTTTTAGTGCATAGTTTGTTGTGGCTCCTAGGACGGATGAAGTCTTTTGAATGAAAGACGAAAAGTTTCACCAAAAAGAAACCATCCAGAGGACCTGACTTAATGTTGTTGAATTTTTTTTTTACCTGGATCAACTTTAATGTTTATTAGGAACATTTTGCTACTGTTATAGCTGTAGAGATCAGACCCAGGAATGCAGACCACCACAAGGGGCTCACAAAGCTCAAGATTTATTTCTTGCTACACAATATAAAGCGAAAACCTGACGTGGCAGCAAAAGATACTAAACAACAAAGTCAAGGAAACAAAGAAAGAACCAGACAGGGCATGAATAATGTCAAACTGCAGGTGAACTGTGAGAAAGAGCTTAAGAAAGCCTAATGAGGTAATAGAGACAGGTGACACTAATGATATCAAGAACAGGTGTGAATGGGCGGGGCACAGAGAAAAAATGGGGGAAAAACACAAAATGTCTCAATGTAAAGACAAAACAAAACAGAAATACATATAATAAACTCCAGAAACACAGATCTCGACAGCTAGCACCAGGTTTGACCCTCTTTTGCCTTCAGAACTGACCCAATGATTCAGGACAGACTCAACAAGTTGGCCATTTCTTCAGAGGTTCTGGTCCATATTGACATGAGTGTTATTACATGACATTATTACATACATGATAGTGTCATGCTGTTGCTGCAGATGTATCATCTGTGATGTGAGATGGTCATTTGTTGATTTTTGTCAAACGCGCACTCAGGAAGATGGGGGGCTTGGCGTGCGCACGAACATTTGGATATGTGGATGTTTGTGTTATTAAAAAACAAACTGTTTTCTTTTGGTGCATGGGAATGTCAAAACTATTGTATACCGGGGCTTTTATTTAAAAAAAAATATTTACAGTATATTTTACAGAGCGTAAAACTATTGTCCAACAATGTTAAGTCAGGTCAAATGGACAGTTTTTTTTTTGGTTCAATTTTTTTAAACTGTTGTAAAACTACTGTA